TATCTGTACCTCAGTGCTTACGTTGCTGTATCACAACATACCTGTTCCTCAGTGCTTCCGTCGCTGTATCACAACATATCTGTACCTCAGCGCTTACGTTGCTGTATCACAACATATCTGTACCTCAGTGCTTATGTTGCTGTATCACAACATACCTGTTCCTCAGTGCTTCCGTCGCTGTATCACAACAATATGAGCTGACGGTAAGTCTCTACAACATCCAGTGACAGGCTTCTCTACAGGTGGTAAATCCGTCCTTTGATCTGTCGAGACCTTCCAGCTAACTCTTACTTGGTCGCTGCTAAGATCAACAAATCAGCCATATGTCGAAATTCTCTTTTTGTGTGTGCGACTCCCAGAGTGACCCAGCAAGCTGTTGCTACCTGCAGGTTGTCAGTTGGATATTACTATAGTAGCCATAAACGGTCGCTTCAATACTGTTCTCTCCCGTCTACTGGGATCGGGGGTTATATCTTTCTAGACAACCTCGTCTGGCCGCGGCTGCACGCACGCACGCACGCACGCACGCACGCACGCACGCTGCCTGCTTGCGTCAGCACCATGTTATAAACTGGTGTCTGAGGGCAGCAATATATGCAGGATTACATATTGATCAATATATAACGTAATGACGTGATTCACAAGCGCTGTGAGTAATTCCATTACTCACGGGGACTAATGGGACGATGTCCGTGTTTCAGTGTATGTCTTGAGGGCTCTGTTGGCCTGGTTGCTCTACAAGGATAAATAGCTACGTTTTCAAGAGTGCCAATGATCACAACATATATCTTTGTTACAGGTCCTGGCTACAGGTCCTACAGGTCCTGGCTACAGGGTCCTACAGGTCCTGGCTACTGGGTCCTACAGGTCCTGGCTACAGGGTCCTACAGGTCCTGGCTACAGGTCCTACAGGTCCTGGCTACAGGTCCTACAGGTCCTGGCTACAGGTCCTACAGGTCCTGGCTACAGGTCCTACAGGTCCTGGCTACAGGTCCTGACTACAGGTCCTGGCTACAGGTCCTACAGGTCCTGACTACAGGTCCTGGCTACAGGTCCTACGAATCTGCCATTTGTTTCAATTTTTGCCACTTCAAATATTGCTCTCAGGATTTTGTCCTGAATATATTCAGGAGAAGGCGTATATTATCTATACAATATTAATCATTTTTTAATATATTTTTTTAGTATTTATTTCAATAGACATTGATGCTATTTAATAACTGCATGCGTGTCTTGCCTTTCATCCGTATCCACATAAGTAACCTAACTATCAAGAGTTATTTTGCCAAACGGCCAAACAAATTTAGTTATTTTGTTGCGTTAATGAATCTGCGTGTATCGAAAATGATAATTTTTTGGCGGTCTTAATAAAGCTATAAAAGACAGGCCTGGTTTTGCGTACGACAATTTTAGTTAATGATTAAGACGGTATTTGAGTTACTTTCCCGTCACGTAAGGGAAGGCTAGTTAGCTCTGGTTAAGATTGAATAAGGTTTAATTATATGAGGTATCACTGGATTGTTTCCAGCGTAGGATAGACATGCTGGAGTGAGTTTTGGTGGGTGGATATCAGTAGGAGTTGCTTCGTGTTATTATTTTGTTCTCATGTTTCCATACCATATATATTACATTTAATACACGTATTGTTAAATACGTGTTAATATTAAGATAAAATCGGATATAATGTTAAAAGCCGGGAACATCGGAGGGTCCAAAGATTCCTGGAGTCAGAGACTACGTTACGGTAATGTTGGACCACTTTGTAACATGCTTGCGTGAGCGTGATGCCGCTTTACCTAACAGTAGTCAACTCTCTATAGAGCTTAATAACAAAATGTTTTGCGCTTGTGTTCTCTAGATCATGAAATACGGTTGGCTTTAATAAAAATTATGGGGGGAAGAAGATATATATTAAGAAGTAGTTTAATATAATTAACTGCTAGAACAGCATTAGGGCAAAACACTTAAATAATTAGTATGGTGAAATATAACTATTTGTTACTGAACATATTATTATGCATTGTAAAAGGCATGCTTTGGAAATGTGTTGAAACAATTAAGAGCAACTGAGGCAGTTTAAACGCGCTTCTCTTTCAGCTGTTTCAAAAGTTTGCCTTCTATAACCCCCAGTGATATTTTCGGTGAAATACACTTAACCGAGGCAATATACATTCATAAACATTAATATAGTATATAGGCAAATGTTTAGTAAACAGTAATAAGAGTGAGACTGGGAGGAGAGTGTCAGCTGCTAGGTAACCAACTTTCAATACAGTTCACAAGGGATTTTCGGGGGTTCAAGTATGTTTATTGAGATAAGCAATAAATACATCTCAAAGGGATAGAGTAGCTTAGGCTATTTCTACCCCCCCCCCCCCATTGGGGGGTTACTTCACGGTAATTGTGAAGTAACCACGTATTGAAGCAACCACGTGTGAAGCAACCACGTGTGAAGCAACCACGTGTGAAGCAACCACGTGTGAAGCAACAATCACCATATAAAATGTTCTTCAAACTATGCAACAACACTATGGTACAACATATCATGTTCGCTACTTATGAAAGCTCATCATATGCTTCAATACTCTAGAAAATATTCGCTAATTAGTTTGGGATGTAAATTAGCACTGAGCTGCCCAAACACACTGACACAAACCTTCCGGTATCACAGTAGTCTATAAAATATGCTAAAGAAATACAAGGAACGATATAAGCATACTAGAAGTATGCTGTATGATGAACCTTCTCATGGTAATGTTACAAAGCGAGTTACAAAAGTATTTATGTGTGGTGTACCAAGCTGACTGGCTGAGGTCCTCAGGTATATTACTGGTGCCTTCTTACTCTTAACTATTAAATACCTTGTCTGCTTGCTATAATATATCCATTTTGTTTCAGTTTTTGTGTTAAAGACCCAAACCTTTACATATTATATATATATATATATATATATATATATATATATATATATATATATATATATATATATATATATATATATATATATATATATATATATATATATATATATATATATATATACATACATACATATATATTTTATATATATATTGCAGTTTTATTTACTTTTTATTCAAAGAGCGCTAATATAATAATGCAAAAAATTTACTAAGATAACCCAAACACTCAGCAGCTTCAAAACAATCAATTTTTCAGGAAAGCCATAACTTTGCTATTAACAAATATCAACTTTGACGACTTCCTAACTAGGCTTAGTGAGGCACGTGATTCTGGATGACATTTGACTAGTTTAAAATTGATTCTTTCTTCGTTAATGGGATCATTGACTCCTTAACATAAACTAATCATGGTAATTCACCTGAATTACACATGACTGTAATGCACTTATTAGCCACTAAGCCAGGATTCATCAAAATATTTACGTGTCCTCTTACGAAACCTGTACATCTTTCCTCAGATCATGTCGGCTTATCTGTGTTTGTTAAACAGTTTACGAACTTCGAAACTTCGCAATCCAAGGTTCTTTCTGTTACAGACAACCGCGTAGCGCTCATTAGCTCGTAAACTCTTAAATAAATTGACTGATAACTGATGAAAGATGTACAGGTTTCGTCCATGGTCACGTAAGTGCTTGAGGTATCTTTGTCTTGCAGACCGTCAAGATTTTATAAGCAGGCGATGAGTCACAATAACGTGGCTGAAGAATGTTGACCAGACCACACACTAGACGGGGAAGGGACGACAACGTTTCGGTCCGTCCTGGACCATTCTCAAGTCGATCGTCAATGGACACAATCGACTTGAGAATGGTCCATTACGGACCGAAACGTCGTCGTCCCTTCACCTTCTAGTGTGTGGTCTGGTCAACAAGGTTTTATAGCTTGTCACATCCAGAATTACTTAAACAAGTTACGCGCTGTAATAAAACCCAATTATGTAGCACAGAGACAATGGCTCCAGACAAGGAAAGCATTGATTAATTCTCATCTTCCGAAACCGGTGCTAGTGGAGAGCATCAAGTGAATATACTCTTGTACTCTAAACTGTCGGAGCTGAGTACGTCCCTCTCTCTTGCTGTGAGTGAATACCTAGCAACGTCTACCTTATAGTGGTCAACTTTCATAGTGCTGGTGTTTGGGCGGCAACATTACTGCCACACACACATCACCACGGAGCTGACCTGGGCTGGGAGAGGGGGTACATGGCCGTAGGATAACCCAAGTAAACCCCCAAACCCAGGTTTCTCTGGGATCTAACTGGCCCTAACCCAGTGTTTTTCAGATTCATCTATCATCAAAACATAGAGCCGGAAGGTTCACGATGAGCAGGTACAAAATACGAACTGTTTCAGTCGGTAAAAATCCGTGTTTTTTTTGTACATTTAAATTTAACTGCTCGACGCTATGTTTCGCGGCGATTCACTTCCAGACATAAACAGAAAATAAATGTAAATCAATATTTTACCTAACTTGTTCTAGGCATAATTATGCACACAAACCCTAACATATAATACAATTAATGTTAAAACTACTCCCAATATATATTATATAATTAATATTTGAGAATTTTGTAATTACATCATTTAAGAGATTCATCCTGTTGCCTGCAAGAGCTACAAGTCTTATAAGTTTTATACGTTTTATGAGTCAGTATAAGAGCTATACTGACCGGCGCTGATAGTCAGTATATGTAGTATTGTCTCAGGATTAATAGTTCATCCTATGGTTAGCTAAGCAATGGTATCTTAAAGACCCAAACTAATCCTTTTAGGTCAGACGCCATTGTTGTTGTTAGTTGAGATTCAGCTACTCGGAACAAAACTTCCACGTAGCACAGGCTACGGTGAGCCCGAGCCCGTAAAAGCCAGACGCGTTTCATATTTTTTTTCATTGTATTCAGCATTTCACTTGCGTATGTCATCCTTGGGAGCCATTGTGGATGTGCTTAGCTGCCAATTGAGTAATGGAATCCTAGAGAAATATCTCTGCTAATCAGTATAACCATCTGTTCCCGTTCAGGACACTGGCCGCGTCCACTTCGACGGCAGTGCTGTTAAGGTGAGACAATTTACCTGTCCACCACACCCACTGTATTTCACAGTAGTCAACGTTGTGGTAATCATTATACCGTCTCAAGGATATCTGATACGATTGTCATTCTTTTCTTTTCTTTTCCAGACAATCTTTTGAGATACTTATTACAATATTTGAAGTTTGGAGACAATGAATTCTTTAACAATATCGCTCTTATAAAGCAGAATTTGCGTTTTGACCATATTTTTATATTTGTGTGCGTGTGTGTGGACGCAGGTAAACTATGTAGTGATGATTCACTCAAGCAGTTAATGCGAATAATATTTTCTCTTTTTAATAGATTTTTTTCTATGCGTCTAGAAAAACATTTTGCATAGAATTTTTTTTGCTATGTTTGATAGTTATAATATTCTACGAGTGCACGATGGCGTATATTTTGACGTTAGTGTTTTTGGGTAGATAATTTTTTGATGGCTTATTTGTGTAGTGGACGTAGGAGGTAGGCGCGGGTGGCCCCCGACTAGGTAGGTGAGCGACTCGTCTTCAGGCGACGTTACCTGTGAAAACATTTCTTTTCTGATCTGACTCTGCCCACAGGCCATTACCGACGGTGCGACTGAGGAGGGAAGTGAGGAGAGGAAGGAGCGCAGGAAGAAGAAGAAGTCTAAGGAGCGCGAGCTGGCCCCGGAGACCTCCGCAGTGGAGGCACCCGCTGACGTATCGGAGGTGGAGCCTGTCTCTGCTCCCACCGAGAGCGAGCCCGCCGCCGCCGCCGCCAACGGCGAGCCTGGCGCCGACGACGACAAGGAACGCAAGAAGCTCGAGAAGAAGAAGAGGAAGGCTGAGCGTGAAGCCGCTGCCAAGGCTGCCATGGAGGCCGAGCTGGCCGCCCTCGCTGCTGCCGAGGCCGAGCTGGCCCGTCTGGAGGCTGAGAGCAGCTCCCTGAAGCCGGATGCCCCTGCCCCGGAGGTCTCCGCCCCTGTTGAGGTAGCCCCTGCTGAGCCCGCTGCTGAGGTGAAAAGTGAGTCCGCTGCTGAAAAATGTGAGTCATCGAGGGAGGTGGTGTGTGAGGTTGTGTGTGTGACGCCTGAGACCCTGGGTGAGCTAGCCCCCTCCACGTCCCCCCTTCAACTTCCCCCACAGGAAGAGCAGGTGCCCCAGCTGACTGAGGAGCCACAAGCTATCCACGAGCCACAACAGGCTGAGGAACCTCCAGTGGAGCCTCAGTTGGAGCCGACTGTGCAGGAACCTCAAGTGGAGGAACCTCAGGTTGAGACTCCAGTGGAGGAACCTCAGGTTGAGACTCCAGTGGAGCCTCCAGTTGAGGAACCTCCATTAGAGGAAGCCAAAGCTGAGGAGGTCCAGATGAAGCCTCCAGCGGAGGTGCCTCAGACTAAGATAGCCCAAGTGGAGGAACCTCAGGTTGAAGAGCCCCAAGTAGAGCCTCCAGTGGAGGAACCCCAGGTTGTGGAACCCCAAACGGAGCCTCCAGTGGAGGCTCAGACGGAGGCAGCGTACGTGGAAGAGTCTGTGGCAGTAGTGGAGGAGCCGCCCCGAATGGTGGTGCGCCGTGCCGCAGGCGGGGATGATGACGCAGGGTGGCTGGATGCCTGGGCCGGGGAGGAGGCGGCCGCTGGCGCCGCCGAGGAGACAGGCCAACACTTAGGTTAGTTGGCGCCGCCGCAAGACGTCTTCACCGTCTCATTCACCACCGCTCCGCCGCCAAGCTCCACGACGTCGTCTTTATTTCTCTATTTTCTTTTTGTTTTTAATCTCTCTCTCTCTCTCTCTCTCTCTCTGTCTCCCTTCCTCTCCCATCCCGTCCCTCCAGTCCTTCCCAGTGCGTGCAGACGCCCCAACACGCGCGGGTCACCTCTGAAGTCAATAAAAGCAATGTTTACATTTGGTCAAGTTGTTGGGGCGTGTGTTGCGTGCGTCAGCTGGTGGCCGCGACGGGAAATAGCGGCCGAGACCCGGAACATGGCGGCTGTGGATTACCATCACCAGCAATAATACTCAAACGTGAATCTGATAGCTTTCCGGCTCGTTATGTTCCTGGTTGAAAGCCTCAACTATTTTTCAGTCCAATGGCCATATTTGCATGTTTTTCTCGGTACAACTGAGGTTAGAGTATTCTCATCTCTGCCCCAAATAAATACAAAAATGCACAAATTCTTAAATTTTCTAGTAGATATATAATTCAAAATGCTCTTACTCATGGGCCATTTTTAAACAAAAAATAGCATATAATAAATTTATTAAAAAGTGAAATGCAAACACATAAAATTCTATCATTTCAAGTGGCAGTCAGCGCACAAGTCAATATTAAAATAAAACGTCAATCCAATTTGGCCACATAGCACTCTGATTTGCCAAGCACAGTGCCTATGGCCGGCTGGCTGCCACAGAAGCTTAAACTGTACAACCACATGACAGACAGAGATGAGGAGCCCTCTTCCCCACCTCACTAAACAAAGGCTTTCTATAACAGCCTTATTAACATAATCTCAAGGGCGATGTTTGAGGTCAGTCCAAGATGGCTCCAAACGTCTCTCTTGGGAAGATGTTAAGTTTCCCCCTGAACGGTAACGACATTATGCATGTCTGAAAGGTGGGACGGCACGGAGATGATCGGGCAATTTTACACTGACGACTAAGGGGAGGCATTGTGCGTTTCAGGGGTCGTTTTAAAGCTTGGCTTTTATACCACATTGGTGCTGGGAAGACGATACCTGGTACTCTGAGACGTACACTAGTTGATGCCCGGGAGACGATACCTGGTACTCTGAGACGTACACTAGTTAATGTACTTAATATCGAGCTATAAGACATTCTGAATAAAGCGAACTTTCAAATAATTTCCTCTAAATACACTGATTTCAGCACTAATTATAATAATTGTTTTCCGTTCAGGAGACCAGTTCCCGGTGCTGGGACGAAGCAGTTATTTTGGTTTAGATCATCTTGTACCACAGACGTGACCATTCATTGACAATGGTAACCAGAATGTACACTTTCTCGTTTGTCTTAAAATAGCAGGCCTCCTGCAGTCTCGGGAGACCATGGAGTTGCGCTCAGGTGGTCGGAGCAAGATGCTGCTTCTGGAAATTATCCTTTCTAAGACTCCTCATAGCATGGTCGATAGAGCGTCGGCCTCACACACGTGGGGTCCACGGTTCGAGCCCCATACAACCCAAGTGAATGGAATGTTTATTTCCACGGATGACAATATATATATATATATATATATATATATATATTAGTATATTTTGGTAGCAGTCTTTCCTGTAGACATATATTATTAAATATGACCGAAAAAGTAAGATTAATAATTCTAACACGAATTTTCTCAATCTTTCGTACATTACGCTTCACTGTTGGAGGTAAATCAAAAATCACTTCTCCAAAATTCATTTTTATTTCTAGTCTGACGCGACACGGGCGCGTTTCGTAAAACTTATTACATTTTCAAAGACTTCACAAATACACAACTGATTAGAACTTGCGTTTCCCTGATTTTATATCTACATTTTGAGTGAGGTGGGAAGGGTGATGTGGCATTACATTTGAGTGAGGTGGGAAGGGTGATGTGGCATTACATTTGAGTGAGGTGGGAAGGGTGATGTGGCATTAACACAAGACAGAACACTAGGGGATATTAATAGGGTATTAAAAGTATCAACACAAGACAGAACAGAAACAATGGGTATTGAATAGAAGTGTTTGTAGAAAGCCTATTGGTCCATATTTCTTGATGCTTCTATATTGGAGCGGAGTCTTGAGGTGGGTAGAATATAGTTGTGCAATAATTGGCTGTTGATTGCTGGTGTTGACTTCTTGATGTGTAGTGCCTCGCAAACGTCAAGCCGCCTGCTATCGCTGTATCTATCGATGATTTCTGTGTTGTTTACTAGGATTTCTCTGGCGATGGTTTGGTTATGGGAAGAGATTATATGTTCCTTAATGGAGCCCAGTTGTTTATGCATCGTTAAACGCCTAGAAAGAGATGTTGTTGTCTTGCCTATATACTGGGTTTTTTGGAGCTTACAGTCCCCAAGTGGGCATTTGAAGGCATAGACGACGTTAGTCTCTTTTAAAGCGTTCTGTTTTGTGTCTGGAGAGTTTCTCATGAGTAGGCTGGCCGTTTTTCTGGTTTTATAGTAAATCGTCAGTTGTATCCTCTGATTTTTGTCTGTAGGGATAACGTTTCTATTAACAATATCTTTCAGGACCCTTTCCTCCGTTTTATGAGCTGTGGAAAAGAAGTTCCTGTAAAATAGTCTAATAGGGGGTATAGGTGTCTTCGACCAAGAGATGGCTTCCTGAACCTTGCAGGAATTAACCTCACTGAGGACCAAGTCACTCTCCTAAATCTGGGCATAAACTGTCATGTTATGTCCAGACCGAGTGAAATGGCCCGGAAAGTAGAGTTGGAAATTCTGTTGGACGACATATTCGACCTCGAGACACAAAAGAAGGTCACTACCAAAGATACCTTACAAGCAGAACTTATTGCAGAAGGAGGAAAGAATCGAGGCAACTACAGAAGCACCATACTGTCCCCCGAGCTTAAAGCGGCAGCTAAAAGCCTTCGTGAGAACAAGGAGATAGTTGTCAGGAGAGGTGACAAGTCGCCAATATATGTCATTCTTAAAAAAGACGAATATCTAGCGAAAATGAACATCATACTCTCTGACCAAACTAAGTTCCAAAGGGTAACGAAGGACACTACAGCCGAATTAAAAGCAAAGGTCAACAAACTGATCGAAACTGTGAACGCCAAGAAATCCGGACTCCACCTGCCAAAGATCATTGGGGAATATAAACCTGGATATGCGTATGGAAACGTCAAGACGCACAAGCCTGGAAACCCACTTCGGCCAATCATTAGCCAGATACCCACACCCACGTACAGACTGGCGAAGCGACTCAACGGCCTGCTGACTCCTTATGTTCCTTGCGCCTTCAGCCTGAAGTCTCCAAAGGAATTTGTGGACTTACTGCGGGGCGCACGGGCCACAGGGATAAGAGCCTCGTTGGACGTAGAATCGCTGTTTACCAACGTACCTGTGGACGAGACAATCGGAATGATAGCCGACAGAGTGTATCGTGATCCAGCCTGTACTCCTCTTGACATGCCAGAAAGTATTCTGAGGAAACTACTCCAAGCTTGTACTAAAGAGGCACCCTTCTTGAGCCCGGATGGGCACATGTATAAGCAAGTAGATGGGGTCGCCATGGGTTCTCCCCTAGGTGTCCTGTTTGCAAACTTCTACATGGGTACCATCGAGCAAAAAGTCTTAGTCGACATGAACTTGAAACCGGCCATATACTGCAGGTATGTTGACGACATTTTTACACAGGTACCTGATGTCAGACATCTGCAGGAGCTGAAGGAGGCATTTGAGCAGAGTTCCGTGCTGCGTTTCACTTACGAGATGGAAAAGGATGGGAAGCTGCCTTTTCTAGATGTAACAGCCAAGGAAAAGGGCGGAGGTTTCCACACTGCAGTCTACACAAAGGAAACAAACATAGGAATGTGCCTAAATGCCAACAGCGACTGCCCTGACAGGTACAAGAGGAGTGTTGTTAACGCATACGTCGACCGTGCTCTCAGCCACAGCTCAGAATGGAAGCAAGTCGACGAAGAACTCTGTAGGGTAAGGCAGGTCCTAGTCAATAACGGCTTCTCCAATGGTTTCATCGAAGACATCATAAGAAGGAAAGTGAAAAGCCATGCAACCTCCGAAGAGACAACTAACACAACACCTATACCCCCTATTAGACTATTTTACAGGAACTTCTTTTCCACAGCTCATAAAACAGAGGAAAGGGTCCTGAAAGATATTGTTAATAGAAACGTTATCCCTACAGACAAAAATCAGAGGATACAACTGACGATTTACTATAAAACCAGAAAAACGGCCAGCCTACTCATGAGAAACTCTCCAGACACAAAACAGAACGCTTTAAAAGAGACTAACGTCGTCTATGCCTTCAAATGCCCACTTGGGGACTGTA